CGCCGAAACATTTTTCAACTTTAAGTAACCCGAGTTAGTCGATCATCGGTTTCATACTGCAGCAACACGGGACGGGTGCGTCAGACACTAATTTTTTTGGGACCCTACTTCGCTTTCTACGCACGATTCCAATTCACGTGAAAACACGCGTAACCATCCTCCGTTTCTAAGTGAACCTTGCTAAGTCTAGACAGCGGCAGTAGCAGATTTGGAAGAGACCAGTTCAATTTTAAATACTTCCAAAAGAACACTGATTGACAATAATTATGGTTTAATATGCTTGTTGTCCTATAATATAAACAAATATTTAACGTTCGGTTTACCAAAACCATTTCGTACACTAATATCACCAGAAGCAAACTGACGAAATATGAATAACACTATTTCACAACCTGCCAATAAGCAAATCAAACTATAACAACCTTTTAATATGATAACAAATCGTGTTCAGTTGGTGTTTCAAACTTTTGTATTTCACCCAAGCAGACCCCCCCCCCGACTAAAAACCGACTATAGAGAATGCTTTCCAACCTCTCGTGATTACATTAACATTTTAATGGAGTTATCGGGAAAGTACTAATGATAGTAATATACGTGGTAGTGATTCTATGTACAATAGGATGCTTAAAGGCTAAATCACGTGATCGTTTGATCAGTAAATTCCGATATATGCACGAGAATAAGAACATTACAGGGTTTGAGAGAACGATGCATTTAAATGCTTCTAAAATAATGAATGAATCGAGGTTTAGTCATACTTAATATAACGAGATCGTGCTTGATAAATCAAGAAAGAAAAAGTGGTGTCATGCGTGAAAGCAAACATTACACTATTCGCCGACGATTAATGAATTCTAAAAATTTATGAATGAAAGGATAATGTATTACAATGTCAATCACACTATCCATTGCCGACGAGGACTTTCGTTATTACCATGGGATACGACAGACAATAGGAGTCGAGACGTTTATATTACAAAATTACAATGACAACAACTGTAATGGTGTGGACTAGATTAAGTTTGTGAGGGGTAAGCTGTATCTATTTTATTTAAAAGAATAAACGTAAGGTTAGTCCTAGTTTTATTTTGTTACCGTTATTCTTCACGATTGATCAATTTTTTTCACTACTTACATCGCGATTTTCTATTACTAATTTTAAATTAATTTGAAGAGGTGATTGTTAGTGGAAATCTTCATTTGCTCACTTCAGAAGCTGAAATGGGGCTATTCCGAAACGTCTAATAAACCCGTTTTCTTCTCTTTACTGCTCCTACACCTACTGTCTGTAGCACCCGACTGGCTAAGCAAGTCTTACAATAAAATGCCATCTGGTAGGTTTTTAAGGAACAATAGATAATGTCTTTACACGTTGTACTTTTCCAGTAGGTAAGGTTAAAATAAAACTGACAGTATAATCCCTAAAAGTCAATTCCTGATTATTTTGGATTCTTTAGCTGCGAGTAGAAAGAAAATAAACGGTACTAAAACAGAAATATTTATACAAGTCTGTTTTTCATCTTCTGGAAAATGGTCAAAACATTGTCTGTTGACTAAAACTTCAATTTCCATCCTTCTTAGAAGTCAAGATTATCGTAATTCGTGAATATTACGACAGGTTGCCAAATTGACGGACTTTTAATACACAAAGTGACTAATACCGATTGATTGTTGTGGTTGAATCTGTATACTGAGAAACATTTCTGTCAATGTCATATCGGATAATCTGTAATCCTCACACTTGGTATACAATAAAACCAATCAACCACAGATAACGAACATTAACCAGAATTAGTTAACTAAATAGCGAACACATCAAATGCGTTTTTAATACTTCAAATTACTAGGTACAATTTTCTTAGGGGGGCCGCCCCGTCCGTACTTATCAGCTAAAGGCATAGAAGTGTGTTTTGTTTTTTTTGCATTACTTTGGGCGCTCGTCGTTGCTTTGCTCTGATTACACCGACGATAAATACTCCACTGCAACACAAGCAAATCTGAAACCAGCAGATACAGGATAGAACACAAGCAAATCTGAAACCAGCAGATACAGGATAGAACACAAGTAAATCTGAAACCAGCAGATACAGGATAGAACACAAGCAAATCTGAAACCAGCAGATACAGGATAGAACACAAGCAAATCTGAAACCAGCAGATACAGGATAGAACACAAGCAAATCTGAAACCAGCAGATACAGGATAAAACAAGCTGACAAGATTGTACAATTAGGCAATGATGAGGGAATTAGTTTCCAAACATTTGTAATACTTACGAAGTTATAATTCTATTAAACCATTAATTCACGACAAAAATTTAAATACTAATAATACCGCTTCTTACCACTCGAGACCAACGGAAATAACTATCATTTAATAATTTTAACATTTCCAATACACGCTACCTTTTTAGAAAATGAGCATGTTCAAATTATAGTTAATATCATACTTTGACATAATCAATCAATAAACTTGCTTTATCTGACAATTTACAAAAATTAAACAGACTGGAAATGGTACCTCTCACGACATGTTTTAAAGTCATCATAGAACTACCATTTATTTGTTTGTATGTAACTTCATTTCGGTGCATTCTGTATCAAATAGACACTTTCAAATCATCTGTATCACAAAAACTAAAAATGAAATATAACATCAATTCCTTTTACATACTAAAAGTTATTTTTTAAATAGTACTGTTATTTCCACTGCAGTCTATTCATTATATTGACGTATTTACATACACTTTTGTTTAAAAGTATTTTACTTATGTTCTTATAAGCGTCAGATTTCCGTAATATAATGAAACATCTTTGTTCTTCTAAAATTACATCTCTTGAAGTGTAATTGTTAATTCATATAGTATCTTGCGTGTAGGAAAAATTCGTATATCGAAAAACAACTGTTTTGACACTCAACGAATACAGAATTTGGGGTCAAAAATTAGGTTTTACGATGGGCAGACACACACATATACATACAAACACTCATTGAAACAAAACTGCTAACTTGTGATAAAAAAATTCTAACGTTATTTACTCTGTTGCAAATACTCAGTTTAGAGGTATGAATGAAAATGTTTTAAGCAAATTAGAAAAATAACGAATTTTTCTTTTCTTTTTTGCAAGGATAAATTTTGAAAAGTTTAAAACCACCTTAAATGTGAAAAGAAACTAGGTAGGATGTATATTTTTGAACTATTAACTTTGGCCTCTGCATGTATGGCCAGCATGCTCAACAGACTGCTGATCTTGTGTGGTGAGAGAGATGCTGGAAACACTGGTTTCCCTCTCTAGACTACTCAGCTGATGTGAGTGACACTTCATTCTGCAAGTTCTGATGAAGCTTCTATAGTGCCTATCAAATTAGAAATACAAACTACCCATACTGACAAGCAAAAATTTTAAATCAGAACCACTTATATTAATCTGCCAAAATATCAATAAATTTATCAAACCCACAAAAGGAGGCCCTCATCTTTTCAGTCATTTCAAACAAATTATTCACTCACATCTATTTGAATGGTGGACATGTTTATAACCAATAGAAATAGCATATTGTAATGTACAAAAATCTTTCATTTGATTAGTTTGGGCAATAGAAGACAGTAGCTTACAAGAATAATTTGATATGTGCTGCTCTGAACAGTAATGGATTTTTTTTCACCTACTTATAGCCAGGGTAGAAAACCAGATAAATTATAGTAGTTTTGGAACATTCCATTCTAGTACCCAATACATTTTTTTCTGTTCTAAAATGCATATTTGAAAGTCATGAATTATTTTTAGGCAACTAACACTATGATAAAAAAGTAAGGATACTAAAACAATGTCCAAGTGCAAACAACCTCAGTGCTGAAGGAATGCTAAATTTTTTAACAAAAGTAACAGTTTACTGTAGCAAGAGGGTCCCAAGTATAGTAATAAAACCATAAAATAAGAAAACAGATGTGAAAAGATTAGAAGCTGAAGCTGTTAAGATAAATAATTGTAATTGTTACAATCTGCAGTCATTCTATTTAAAAAAATTAAGTACTAATGATTCTGTTTCGTATTTTATAACTTTTCATTTCATTCTACACAGATAATTTTACAACAGTTAGTGTTAAGATACAGTAAGTAAGAGAAAATATCAAGTTTTACAACAAAATGAAAAAAATTCATTTTGGAGGTTCTAAAGATTATGAAACTGCAAGATGAAAAATTGTTTTAAAAATGAAAATCACCTTTCACTCATATTAACTTGATAAATTCCCAGACAAGTGTTAATAAATATACTATATTTAAAAAAATCTGTTGTTTTTTTTATGTTTATTAAAAGTTTCCCAAATTTCGTGATGATAAACTCAGTTTGAGTTATAATATTTAGAGTTTCACAGTTACAACATTGGTCAAATTGACCAAGCCTGTATATACACAGGATAAACTCCTTGTAAATGATTTTTGGTTAGTTTGTGTTCAAAGCCAATGTTTCAAAGTTGCTATTCTTTAATTGTAACACACCAACTAATGTGGAAACACTTTTCTGCAGGGTATAAAAGTTAACCCAACCAGCCAAATTTGGAAATAAATTTATCCCATAATGACTGTAGAAGTAATAGCACCCTAATTTGATATCTATATCTACGATTTGGATTTATTTAAAATATGGAATGTTATAATTCAGTATATTATTACAAAATTATTCACTAGACAGTGCCTTATATGGAAAATATGAAGTAGGCCTTTATTTTATTAAAGTACTTATTTCACATTTTTAACAAAAAAAGTGGATTTATATTTCAAACTCCTTTGACTATTTGTATTTTTGACATTTTTTATACATCTGTATGAAATTCAGTTTTTAAATATAAAAGAACAAGTACATAAAATCATGTGTGTGTGTGTGTGTGTGTGTGTGTGTGTGTGTGTGTGTGTGTGTGTGTGTGTGTGTGTGTGTGTGTGTGTGGTGAGGGTGTGTGTGGCAATCTGTTAGATATTTGAATGGATAAAAATGCTTACCATCAGGTCCTTTTTCTCCTCCATATAAATTGGTATTTGGTAAATATGAGATATCTCCATTTTCCTGAGATTGTTGAAGCTTTGATTTAATGGAATCTACATCCCTTTTCTTTTCTTCTTCTGGTTTAACTTCTATGTGAACTTTATCACCAGGAATAATTTTTGCACTTTCTGTAAACTTTTGTTTACCTTCTGAGAAAAGTTTTCTTTCAACTAGTGAACCCTCCTTAACATTAGAATCGTCTTTAAATGGCGTTTGGGTTTCCACGTTTGTTTTTAAATGCACAACCGTCTCACTGATTGTAGATTCAAACAATTCTTCACCATTAACACTAATAAAAGCACAGCTTTCTGAATGCATTTCTTTTTGTGGACCATTAGCTGGATCAATGGGAATGTCAGCTTTTCTGGATGCTACACCTTTATTTATATCATCATCAGATTCGGATGTAACAATTTTCTCCAAACAAATATCATGTTTATTAACTATAGATTCAGATTTGGCAGGATCAGCCCGTTCTGCTTTCTCATTTGGAATTTCAGCCAAAGAAGATACAGATGCTTCAGTTGAGGGTCTATGGTTACTACTATCCTTTGAAATTGTACTAGATACAAAAACACTTTTATTAACTTCTAATGGAGTACTAAGAGAAATGTCTGAATCACTAACATGGTTTGTAACTAAATTCATAGGTTGACTATCAACCATCAACATGTCTTTGGGTGCACCAATATTTACCATATTTGTTACAGATTCTACTTGGAATGAGTTTGGAGAAGGTGTTGGCTCTTTTCTAGGGGTTACAGAAGTAGCTGCTGCAGCAACCTGGGTTGCAAATTGTGCAATGATGCTTTTTTCTGGACTATCCTATAAAACAGAAGAAGTCACTTTTTCTTAAAAAAACATTTTGTACACAACACTGGTCATAAACAAAACATCCATTTATGCTACAAACCTAAAGATTTTAGTAAATATCATTCTTGGTGGGTTTATTTCCATACAACTTACGATCACTTCCAAACCTTAACAGTTTCAACTGTCAAATTTCAACATCAAGGCTAGTTATGTTCATGATCTTAGAAAAACACGTAGGTTCAAGAAATCTTGATAGCAATAAATAAAAATCCTATAACCCAATCGCTTTCGAAAGGTCCTCCTTTTGAAAGCCCTCGGGTTATAGGGTTTTTATTGATTTCTATCAAGGCTACTCGTGAATACACTACAACTCATCTCTCTGTATCAGTTGGCCTCACATTTTAAGAAGTATTTCTTTTTTTCTCAAAGCCATAAAAAGCAGCTGCACTTCATTTATAAAAAAAATTAAAACTTTATATATATTTTTTTTTATATATAAAATATGCACACATAACTGTCACTTTAACCCAATCCATAAAGATAATTTTTAAAAATACTTGAAAGAATTAGTCTTGAAATAAATTAATTATACATGAAGTATTAGTCTCAAAATGTTTTTTTAATCTGATAAGGGACTTTGGTTAGAATTTATTTTAAAATACAACTAGATATTAGCCATTCTTTTAATACTATAAATACATTACAAACCTAAACTAAAACCTAACAGAAGGTTCATTATACTACACACACATAGGGAACTCCCCATTTTATAGTTCCTTTTTTCAGTATTTAACAGGAAAATTGTGTATAATTGAATGTGAATTTTAAAGACAAAAACAATTAAAAATGTTACATGTTTAAATGAAAGTTCAGTATTTCATTAAATTTTATCTTTTTGGTTGTTTCTAAACTAAAATATAATGTAATATGTTTTTATTACTCTTATCAGTCTTATCTGATAAGTTAACACACCAGCTTTCAAGTCTATAGTTGGGTGTGATAGTTCAGGGTATGATTTAATTCTCTTTCATCCAAGATAAGTTCCATTAAAAATAATTAAAAGAAGTTTAGACTTGACTGTTCTTTATTAAAGTAAAAAAAATTCAAAATTTGCATTTTAAATGTCAAATCAATGCCATTTAAGACTTTTTGGAACTACTATATTCTAAACTTTAAAAACAGTTTCATAGTTATTCTTCATTTGTACACAGCTGAAGACTCATTCACACAGTCACAGTTGTACATACTACATTGTGTGTATGCGTTTGTGTTTGTTTACATACTTGATATAAAATATTGTTATACAGAATGGATATTTTTCTAGTAAAAAATACATTTTCCAAGTACACACACACACACAGAAAATTATGCACGTTTCAAACATTCATTAAAATGCTATCCCTTCTCGTACAATGTTTCTTTGCAGCATTTATGGTTCCGATACCTTCAGTTCAAAAATTATTTTCTGTACTCCTTCAAAATATGTTTTAAAAACATCAGTAGCAAATTTGATTGTTTAATGTCATTTCACAATTGGAAACCTCTTAATTGTCAAATGCTACAGCTGAGAACATAGCCAAGCACACAACAAGTACATGAGGGCTAGAGCAAACCTGGACACGTGTATTGCTACTTCTATAACCGCCTTCACGTTCAGGCCAACATAATGAGCTTCTCTCAGTGCCACACAAGATAGGAAGCGATATGAATGAGAACTGATTGAAGTTGTGACCAATATCCTAACAACTAATGATCCTAACCACCTTATATATTCTCAGATTTAGGTGAAAACATAAGAATGATCTCGATGTTTTTAAAAAGTCCAAAATTTTTCATACCCTAAAGAATATTCAATCATAGCAATTAGCAAGTTCTTTTGTAAACAAAAGATTTGCTAGCTGTGCAAAAAAAAAAAACACACAAACAAACAAACAATTTACATGTCACTAACAAAAACTATCAAACTTTTTAATTACTATGCCAACATACTTAAAATTTCTTTAAAATCATTCTAATAAAAATTAAATATCTTACATTAGAGAGAAAAAAAGGGCTACAATAGTGTTCAAACTTCATTATTATCCAAATCAAAAGTCAGAAGACACAGAGAAATTATTTAAGCTAACTATATTTGGCTTTTCAAAGTATTCACTTACACTTGGAGTATTTTGAGTTCTTTTACTATTCAAAATTGTTTCTGTTAAATCCTGCCCTGTATTTGGATCCTGCAATCGAATAATCTTCTTTTCTCTCGTAGTTGTACAACCAACCACATTAGGGGGCGCCGGTTGCATTGTTAGCTGTGGGGGTCCCATCATAGATGGAACAACTGAATAGTAGTCTGAAAGTAGAGTAATGCATAAACTGGAAAAGTAGAAACCATATTCATTTTATTCTCAATCTCCAGCTCGTAAATCAAATTTACTCGCTCTGTGATCTTTGTTTTACTAATATAACATTTTTAGGAAATTATCTTCGCTTTGTTCTTTTATGTCTGATAGCTATAATTCAATAGTAAAATGATGGAATAAGTGTCATTTCCACTTTAGTGAGACATATACCAACACTTAAGTTTCAAATAACAAAACAACTGAAGTTCATCTTGTGCACCCATTATAAAACTGAAAAAAGTATCATACTTTGCAGGTGTGAAACATTTATTACTATCAAGGAGATACAGCACGATAGTGTATTGAGTATTCCTGCGTAGCATCGGTAGTTTTGAAAGTCTGAAATTTTAAATACATTAAAGTGATGCAATAAATAACTTCCCATTGAACTAATCTTTCAAATCTCATAACTGTTACGAGATTTACTTCTACAAATAAATAGAAATCATTTTTAAGGATGCTTCTGAGCTAACTGTGATCTAAATGTACACAAGCCATGTTTATAAGTTAATTGTTTTTTAGGAGTAACTGCCATGCCCACAACTGGCTGCAGACAACAAGTGATAGTTGGGTTTGGGACAATGTGGGTTCTAGCACCCAAACCATTCTCATACGTACAAGATTTCCCTTTTAGGTGCATTTTTTTT